CTGTGAGGGACAGTTGGTGCAGTGCACAACATGGCACGGCTGTGCTTCTTTGAGGTGTTTACCAAGTGACCCAAAGAGTGACTTCAGCATAGGAGGAGTTAATGAGTGGTCACGTAATCAACATCTGGATGATGATGTCACAAGTGCTCACAGGCCGGCGCAAAGACTTGGTACCAGCAAGTGCGAAATCAGGCCCACAAGCGTGGGGAGGGGAATCCTCAGCATCGTTCCAGAACACACTTGGCACCACATCGGGCTTCATTCTTAGCCTTTTTGCTAGCTCCATTTCCTATTGCTGGAACTTCCTGTAATCATCACAAGTGAAGTGTTCAATGCACACCCTTGCTTGATAGTCTCTTCCCGAAAGACAGTAGCACTTTACCAACCACTGCCAAAATAAGTGCAGTTTTTCTGGCAATGTATGCCAATGTGCATGCTGGGGATTTTGTCCGACACCAAACAGTACTTTGCTATACAATATGGCATTGCAAATGAGAAGGCAAAATATGGTCTGTAGAAATCGTGGATGATTGTCACAAAATCTGTCAGCTAAGTGTAATGCAAGTGCCCCCCTTGGAGCACTTGTGGCGTCACCATCGAGATTGTGAGCACGACCACAAAATCAATTCTGCCTTATAAAATTGTCTAGAAAAAAGTATTGTGATTCATATTTTCCTTTTTTGCTCTTTATTCATGCTTAATAATCCCGTAGTGACCTTCAAGTACATTTACCAGTAAAGACAGTCTTCCTTTAAGGTTGCCAAGGACGAGTCTGGACATCAACTTGGGTTTGGTTGGGCCTGGATAAACCGTGCCAAGTTAGATTTGGTTGCCTGCGATGAATTGGGATTGGGTCAAATCGGCTTGAGCTGGGTTGTGATGGCAAGTTGGCTGGGGCTGAACCAGGGTGGGCCAAGTTGGAGGGGAGTTCGGCTGGGGCATTGAGCGGGGTTGGGCTGGCTTGGTGTTGGCTGAGGGTGCATGTGGTTGGTGGAGGTGGGACTGGGTAATTGGGATACGTTGGCTTGTATTGGGTTAAGGTTGTGATGAACTAAATTTGTACGGATAGTGTTTGTAATGGGTTTGTTGAAGACTGTACTTACTTTTGTGAAGGCATTATTTCCTTCCTTGTTTCCTCGACCAAGGAAAATGTTTCTTGATTGGTGACCAGAACTTGAGAAAGCCACCCTACGAAGGTGACAAACAGTCAAGGGTCTTATGTGGGAAACAGAAAAGGAACTACCAAAAGACAACCTTAAGTTTTGCAGAAATGGAGGAGTCTAGTTGACTTGTTCTGGATAAAGTGTTGGACAATTCACATTGTAGATAATCTGTCCCTTACCTGCCAGAGCTCTGGTATTTCATGACAACCTCTGGCAGACTGGCCCGCTCTCTTCCACTGTCGATCTCTGTGAGCAGCAGCTTCAGGGCAGCATGGTTCTCAGTCCTCACTGCGTAATCAAGAGCCGTCCTCGGAACGTCAACACCCCGTTTGTGGAAGACAGAGGGCAGGTCCCTGTCCTCGATCAGCTTCTTGAGGAGGTTCATGTCATTGGTCAGCACGGCCCGGATGCTGCGCTTGCACTGGACAAACGTGGACACCTCAGGGATCTCCTTCTCATTTCTTAGCATTGAAAGGATTACAAAAGAATACATTTGTGGAAAAAGGGATATTCTCCATCAAGCAAGTGTGAGTGACAGATACAAAGTTGTCATAAACTCTAAATTCTTTTCAAATCTCATACTTTCTGCACTGATTGCTCATGAATGTAACTACTAGCCGAAGTACCACAGTTAAGAGGTTGGGCTACATAAAAAGAACACAGTGGAAAGGCAGATTCCTGACAAGTTAAAAAGGAGATTAAAACCCTCCTACCATAGAGCTACAAATGGGTTTGTAGCTCTATGCTCCTACTAACCCTCCTGAAGTCACTCTTTGGGTCATTTGGTGAACACC